TTTTTTATTTTATCAATTTGATAACTATTGTTGACTGCATGTCTTGTTGCAAGTAAGACTGAATCTCTTACTTAGTTTTTGGTCCACTCATCTTTAATGAATTGCTCATTCACATATATTTTCCATTTGTTGTGGGAATGTTCACATTTTGTTATTAATTTATTATGATTGGTGAAATAAAATATTAACTCTATTAGAGAGAAATCAGTAAATTACAGTGAAGTAATGAACAGGAACAAATTGCTGTTACTTCTCTACTCACACCTTTGACATTTCTGACACCAGATGTGTGAGCTTTCTACACCAAGCAACTCTGATTTTAACCTGGAGTTAGTGTAGACCCCACAAGTTAAGGACTTATTCCCACAAGACTGTCACCTCTTTCAGATGCCAATGTCAAGGATTAGGTCCCCCAGGTTACACATAACTTCTGACTTGGCTATAAACCAGAGGTTCCTACAACTATCTCCTTGGGCTCAATAATTTGATAGAGCAACTCAGAGGACCTAGGAAAACAGTTTACTTACTATTGTTGATTTATTACAAAGGATGTTTTAAAGGGTGTGAATGAATGGCCATTTGAAAAGATATTTATGGAGAAGTCTGGAAGGTCCCGAGCTCAGGAGCTACTGCCCCCGGGGGCAGGGATGCATCACCCTCCTGGCATGTGGATATGTTCATTAAACTGGAAGCTCTTTGAACCCCATACTTTTGGGATTTTTATGGAGGCTTCACCATGTAGGCATGATCAGTTATTAACTTGATTTCCATCCCCTCTTCTTTCTTTGGAGAGTGGAGGTAGATCTGAAAGTTCCAAGCTTCTAATCATGGTTTGGTCTTTCTGGTGATCAGACCCTTTGCAGGAGCTCAACAAGAATCACCTCATTAGAACAAAAGATGTTCTTATCACTCAGAAAATTTGAAGGGATTTAGGAGCTCTGTGTCAGGACCAAAGACTGAAATATTAGCAGGAATCAAATTTCACAAGTGATAAAATGTGTGCTGAGTCACTCATTTCTTTTCAGAGCCCTGTATCAGCTATTGTACTCATATCTATAATTTTATGGACTCATGATACGTATCAAATCCTATTTCTTTTGCCTCTTCACAATATTTTGTGCACTCATCAAAATTTTTATATGTTGAGGCTCAGACTTCTCATGATTATTTTTTGCTATTTAATATAATCAGCATTTATTTCCTCTCTTATCTACCCATTTAGCAGATGCACTGCAGACCCAGAGTGACCTGGGGGTCAGACTATTGTTGGGGAGGAAGGAAAGTTGGACCTTGGTGTTGAGACTTGTGTCTGTTTTTGCTGTCTCACTGCAGATAGAAGTATGCATCTTTTCTGATGTTCTGAGGGTAGTGGGAAAGTAAATAGCTTTTATATTGCTCATCCTGCAGGTTCTCTGCTTTTAATATGCTCATTAAAAATGGCCTAATTTTTCTGGGCATTAAAAAGGCAAAATGTCAGCAGAATAAGAAACAAAGGAAGAACTGACTGATTGCTTCGATGGAAAAAATCACTTTGAGCCTGGCCAGGTGTAGCTCAGCTGTTAAGCATAGGCCTAGGATCCAGGCGATCAGGGTTCGATTCCCGGCCAGGGCACATGCCCAGTTGTGGGCTTGATCAATGACTCTCTCCTCATTGATGTTTCTGTCTCTCTCTCTCCCTCCCCTTTCCTCTCTCTGAAATCAATGAAGATACATTAAAAAAAAAAAAAAAATCACTTTGAGTGTACATGTATGTATATGAGGGACATGATTATGTCCAAATGGCTTGAGCAAATTCTGTAGAAAGGATTTGATTCAAGAAACTTGATAAAGTACAGAATCTGGATGAAATAATAATCAAGTTGATAGAAAATTGGCCTATACTCTGAAGACTTTGTGAACGTTCTCTGTAATGAAGCATTTAAATGGTTTTTGAAGAGTAAATAAGCCAAGGACTCTTTGGTTTCCTGACTCTTCAACTTTCCCAGGAATATCAATACTGATTCACAAAGTACATTTTATCTTTCAATTGCTTCTAAATTTAAAGTAAAAGGGGACTGTGTTGTGTTTTGATGCTATTTTGTATTTTAAACATGAAAATTTACCTATATATTATGTTTTTATAACAGATGTTATATTGACATAGCTGTATTCATTCACACGAAGTCATTATTTAGTATTCTTTATTTTGAACCATATGGATAAAAAAGCTTATAGAGCAAAACACTATATAAAGATACTTTTACATAATAAATATGTGATAATTATATCAGTATTTTGATATGAGTACTTGATGTTTATTTCTCCCCAATACATTGGTTTTATTTGAGCTAAAATTATTCTCTGGGAATGTTTTAAATATAAGAAAGTTTATAATGAGCCGGCTTAAGCTTTATATTTACCATGATACCAAAATTTGTTTACTTTGAATAGTTAACGTAGCTATTGCCCTGTATCTTTACAAAGCTGTCCTTATTTCATATTTTTATTGTGTAGTTTTCCTGTTTTAAATGTTAGTGATTTTATTTTATGTTTTTGAAATGTGCCTTGTTCTCATAACTGTGAGGCCCCCCTTTGAGCTGGCAGAATAAATGTCCTACCATAAAGTGTTAACATTGAATATTAGTAAATTAGGAACATCACTTTACAAATTATATTATTATGGATTTAGCAATTTAAAACTAGAAAATCTCTTGTATTAGGATAATCTAAAAAATAATCTCTTACTGGTAAATTCTGTACTTCCAAAAATTATTTCATCTAACTGAGATATTTCAGATTGCATGTTAAATCCTGAAATTCCTTTAAAAATATTTTATAGTTATTTTAATTTTGATTGTTATTAGAAAATTTTATTTGTTTGAGATATTTCAGATTGCATGTTAAATCCTGAAATTCCTTTAAAAATATTTTATAGTTATTTTAATTTTGATTGTTATTAGAAAATTTTATTTGTTTGAGATATTTCAGATTGCATGTTAAATCCTGAAATTCCTTTAAAAATATTTTATAGTTATTTTAATTTTGATTGTTATTAGAAAATTTTATTTGTTTGAGATATTTCAGATTGCATGTTAAATCCTGAAATTCCTTTAAAAATATTTTATAGTTATTTTAATTTTGATTGTTATTAGAAAATTTTATTTGTTTGAGATATTTCAGATTGCATGTTAAATCCTGAAATTCCTTTAAAAATATTTTATAGTTATTTTAATTTTGATTGTTATTAGAAAATTTTAAAAGTTTTTTGGGATACAAAGTAAAAATAGTGAAGTCTACTCATGTTTTCATTACTCTGAACTGATCTGCTTTCATGTGTGCAATTGAACCATTCTTTAAAAGCATTATATTCTAGCCTAATTATGTACTACTGTAGATAGGGTGTCCCTCCAAAATGTATGCAACTTTAACAGCTGAAAGCTCAATTTTGAAAAGGAAATGCATTTTAATAAACACTGCCTTTATAATTATTCAAACTGTGTGTATACATTTTGGGGGGACAGCCTATATTCAGCCATTCTTCAGTTGGAATTTGATCATTCCAGCTTGAGTGACTAGGTGGATGCTGGACTAATATTTTAAAATTGGGAAAAGAGGAGGAGAAATAGGTTGTAGTACTAGAGGCATTTAGTTGTGATTTGAAGAGCTTCTGCTATGTGTTCATTATGTGGTTGGAAATACTGAGTTTGAAAAAGAATTCTGGCTTCCCACATGTGGAGATGACCGGTGTAGAGATCTAGGTGGTCGAAGTCTTGGCCATGGGTGCTTTACTGGAAGGAGCTGAGGAGGAGCTCAGGAGGCACACTCCTTCATCTTGTGGCATATATTTTTATTAATAGAATATGTCATCTCAGTGCATTTAATTAGGTTATACTTTAAGCTTTCATTTCTTCCTTGCTGTGTTAAGATGGGCAAGAGTTTGTGTAACTTAAAATATGTTGTGTTCTAAAACAGTCTTTTATGCCTTGATGATTGCAATTATGTCATCGAAGCTTGCATATACAACTAATTAGTTAAACTATTGCTTGAATAATACCATCTGAATTATGTATGGTACAGTAGTGTGAAAAAATTTTCTCTGGTGTTATCTCTGCTTTGTCTCACAGATGTTGAACGTTAAAACTCCCTAGTGGCTCTCGGAAAATGAATACCTTTTTCTGCCAACTTTGTAGCATTAGGATTTGTTATTCTTTTGTGAATAAAATAATGCAACATTAGTCAACATGAAACTATTAATAACATTGAAAATTCCTGATGAAAAGCAAGGGACAAATGAGTTATATTTATGTATTTTGATTCCTTCTGGTACTGTTTTTCTCCTGTGGTTTAGAATACATACAGGTGGTGCAAAAGTAGGTTTACAGTTCATATTGAAAGTAATACAATAATTAATAAATAATAAACTCTTTCATGTACTCAGAACTGTAAACCTACTTTTGCCCCACCCTGTATAAACAGAACCCTCCCCCCCAAAAAAATCCCAAGCTCTAGGAGTGTATATGTTTTCAGTCCTTTCATTATATTTCCTCTTTTCTCTGAGAATCTAATTTGCGTTTGTTTAATATTGAAATAAATGCTGCATAAAAATATTAACAGCTGTTTCCAGGAATCCTTTGGAGGGTGCAGATGCACTGCTCTCTTGGATCTTGTCATGGAACTTTGGTGGAGATACTGTGCCTGTTATGACTAAGAACTGCTCATTAGCCCGGCCAGTGTGGCTCAGTGGTTGGGCATCGACCTATGAACCAGGTGGTCATGGTTTGATTCCCGGTCAGGACACATGCCCGGGTTTCAGGCTTGATCCCCAGTAGCGGGTATGCAGGAGGCAGTCAATCGATTCTCTCTCTCATCGATATTTCTCTCTCTCTTCCTCTCCCTTCCTCTGAAATCTATAAAAACATATTTAAAAAAAAAAAATAACTGCTTATTAGCAATCTTTTAAAAATTTCTGTGAGAAAGAAACATTGGAATATAATGTGCTTTGCAATTTTGTTCCCTGTTAGAAAGCAGAAGAGGAGGATGTTGTTCTCACACCTGATGGCACCAGGGAATTTTTGACATTTGAAGTTCCACTTAACGATTCAGGATCAGCAGGTCTTGGTGTCAGTGTCAAAGGTAACCGGTCAAAAGAGAACCATGCGGATTTGGGAATCTTTGTCAAGTCCATTATTAATGGAGGAGCAGCATCTAAAGTAAGCAAATGCCAATTTTGTCAAGCTTATGTCCATTAACAAAGATGTTTAATTCCATCCTGTAACTATTTTGGAAATGCATACACTGTAGGGGAGGACAGACTTTCTTTACCCTCATATATTCTGTTTCTGAGGCCTGTGAATTAAACTGACAAAATATAGATTGATAGGAGAAAAAAGTTCCAAATTTAATTGAAGCTAATATTTTAAATTTTATGTATATTGGGACTCCACAGAAAAGAAGTGAAAACTTAAGCAGTGAGACTTGGAAGGTTATATTCTATTTAAGGAAAGAGCAGTACATTGTGGAGAACTGTTTAAAAAAAGGGAAAAGGGCTTGGGCTTCTAAGGGCTGTAAATTTTGGTTAGGTAAATATATGAGGTAAACTAATGATAGATAAGGTTTATTTTGTAAGTTTTGTTTATACAGACTAGTCTCAGTGCCATCTCTGTCTCTGGTATTGAACATTGTCTTCCTTTCCCTGGTTTGGGAGAAGTGAGGGGACATCTTCACTAACGGAAGTTTATGTCCTGTGTTCAGGCAGAGAGGGGAGGGCAGAGAACACCTCCTGCGTCTGCCATTTCTCAATTGCCTTCACCTCAAAACCATTCTTTGCCAAAGTGGTGTATTTTGGGTCAGCATATTCTGATATCCTATAACACATAACAAATGTTTTCTGTTTTTTTTCTTAATATCCCATCCATGATAAAACAACTGGAATAGATCTCAGTGATCTCTCATTTTGGGATGGCATCCATGGCTTCACTGTCCATTTTTTTGTCTCAGAATTTAAAACCCATAGTCATTTTAGTTCAATGAAGATAATCTATGCAAAGACTTAGCTTAGGTTCTGGCTCTGGGCTCCCATACAATAAAGGTTAACCTTTTACTTTTCCCATCCTTGTCTGTGGATCACTTACCCTATTTCCCAGTCTAGAGAAAATTTCCTGGCTGTTTGTTAAGGGAGCACCTCTCTATCTGTACTTGTCTAATAGCCTTGCGCTTTTGCATGTCTTGGATTGTAAATAACCTCTGTGGGTGTCTCTGGAAGCAAGAAAGTAATCACTTTGTGTCCTTTGAATTACTATGCTATTTTGGTAAACAAATTATGATAATGATTTGATTTACAAAATGTATAAATGATTGAAATGGACAAAGGCTACAGTGACTGCTTAGCCATGATGATGCTAATATTCAGTAGGCAAATCCATTAAGATTAAAGTCCTACCCCCCCCCCCACTTTTTTTGCTTTGTTTTAATTTTTTTTAACTAAAAGGAAAGCAACTTCTTTTATAACAGACTATTTAATAGCACTTTTTTTTAACCTGTTTGCTTCTCAGGATGGAAGGCTTCGGGTGAATGATCAGCTGATAGCAGTGAATGGAGAATCCTTGTTGGGCAAGACAAACCAAGATGCCATGGAAACTCTCAGAAAGTCTATGTCCACTGAAGGGAACAAGCGAGGAATGATCCAGCTTATTGTTGCGAGGCGAATAAGCAAGTGCAATGAGGTAAAGAATAAAAAAATAAAAAGATGAAAGGCACTAGCATTTGAAATTGTAATAAGACTGAATTTCAGTCCCAACGGAGGACCAAGAATGGCAAGTCCTGGGACTTTTCCTCGAAATGCTATAAATAATCTTTGCTTGCTATAGTTTTATTATATTGTCAGTGAGCTCTGATGTGTTTTCTTAGTTTTGTGGCCGAAATATTCCTACTTGTGCATTAGTTTTTCTGTTGCCAACTCAACAGATAAGATGGGAATCTTAAAGGTACTTTTAGGTGAGATTACACCTTCTTGCTCAGAGCCAACAAGCCCATTCAGCAGCATTGTTGCTGGTAGGGAGGAACAATGAAACTAGAGTTGTTCATTTGTTTATCAAAAATGGATAGCTCTGCCCAGCTGGTGTTGAGGGTCAACCCATGAACCAGGAGGTGACGGTTTGATTCCCTGTCAGGGGACACGCCCGGGTTTCGATCTCGATCCCGAGTAGGGGGACATGCAGGAGGCAGCCAGTTGATGATTCTCTTTCATCATTGATGTTTCTATATCTCTCTCCCTCCTCCCTTCCTCTCTCTGAAATCAATAAAAACAAATTACAAAGCTCCTTTATCCTTTGGTATTGTCAAAAGTTTGAGCCTCTTCTACCTGCNAAAAAAAAGAGATGCCTCTTACAAAGCTCCTTTATCCTTTGGTATTGTCAAAAGTTTGAGCCTCTTCTACCTGCTACCTCTACTTTCTCCTTTACTATAAGGTTGACTGTTTTCCCCTTGAGTGGTGGTTTCAGAATATATGCTGCACTATGTAAGTAGGGGTGAGTAGGAAAGGTAGTATGGTCATGTTTTCCCAAATAAGTAAAAATGTATCTGTTTCTTTTTAGCAGGGCATTTGAAAATTAAAGGTAAAAAGAAATTCTATATATTAGTAAAAATTAATATTGGAACCTTTTAAAAACAAATTTCATAGATCTGTTATAAATTATGTGCCATCTACAGAAAATTGTTGGGACCTGATAGTTTACAAAGAACAGAACTTACTGAAAGTGTAGCTTATTCTTCTATTTATTGATGTTCAAATTCCCACATTTTGAAATCAACTAAGAAAAAATTACTAGCAAATCGTACAAACTGAAAATGCTATGTAAATTGTTTGTGTTTTTCTTTTTAAAATCCATGTTTTTAGGTTGTGATGATTACTCAGCTGATCCTATAATGCCATCATATTTTGCAAAAAACAACAACTCCTGAGCTGAGTGGGTAGTCAATGTAGAGGTGGCCAATTTTTGAAAGGTTATTGACTATTTACTCGCTTTTATATTATTTTTAACTTCCAAATGGAGAATGAATTAATAGTAATTAAATTAATTTTCATGCCAATAAGAGAACAGTGTAACTGTAACTAAAAATCTCAGAGTGGAGACAGTGTGATGTCGAAATATTCACTTTTATAGTATAACTATAAATGCCAATCCCTCATACTAGGCTACTGGAGTAGTTTTCTTGAATAATAGTTTTTATTGGTTGTCAGATCACTAGCTGGTCTTTTTAATGAAAGCCCTTTAAAGTGCTACATGAAAAATTCTTAACAGTAAGTTTACAAGATACATTGATCTTGATTAGCTTTTTTTCTGAAACTGAATAATTTCACATTCCTCAAATGGTACGTGTATGGTGTCCCCTCAAAAATGTATACACACTTTAACAGCTGCTAGGTCAATTGATGTTTCCTTCCTTTCAGATTTAACCCATTGGAATTAATAATTATTCAAAGTGTGTATATATGTTTTGGGGACACCCTGTATTTATTAAACAAATGTTTATTGTGCATCTATTGTATTCAGAAAATAAGTTAGATCCTGGGTATATGGAGGCTAATAAAACAGATGGGATTCTTCTCTCGTAGAACTTACATTATATTGTACAGTTATCATGCTATTAGACTCTTTAAAAGAAACTAAAATTAGTAACACTTTTCAGAGTTCTCCATCAGAGAAAAACATTGAGTGTTATAGAGAAACTTAAAAACATAAGAAATGTACGAATGTCAGTGTCTTGAGTCCAGATCTGCTTTTGTCTGATTGAGATGATCCCTATTGTTTCCCAAATAGTAGCAAAGCAAACCTGTAGCAGCTTGAGGATGTTTTGAGAAAAAGCACTGATTTCATTCACTGTTACCCTGTGAAAGACATGAAATTAGAATCCACTGAAATATCTGTGTCTCACTCACTTTTGCATATGAATTTATGTGAATAAAATGATTTAAGTTGGGGAACAGCTGCAGTAGACAGTAGTAGACTTTAATACTCAATATTCCTTATGATATAATTTTTATATATTGCTGGTTATTACTAGTACTTAGGATAGAATAAGCTTATGAAACAATTATATCAAAGAAAATCTTATCACGAGTGCTGTGCTTTCTTTACAATACTAGCGAGAAGCCTTTTATATTTACAGGGTTTAACTAAAGAATTATATGAAGACAGAAGAGCTCCATTCAGCTTCCCATAAGGCGTAAGACATAATTGTGCTTATATTACCTTTGGAAAAAACATTTCCTTGAATTAATGGGAGGGTATGTGTAAATTATATTACAGTAAATATTGATAAGCATAGGGCATCTTTTCGTGAATGAACCTTAAGCTAAACAAAGTGCTTGAGTTCTCTCTTCTGGATCTATTAGTAAGCCATATAGCCCAGTCTTTGAAATATTACAAAACTACATTTTACAAACACATCTTTAAACCAAGAGTTTGCATACTTAATTTCAAGCTAGAGAAGATGAGAATTTGCAAAATAAAATTTTCTGTACTTTGTCACAACTTTCCTTGCCCTTCTATGTGGGAAGTGCTGTACATATATTTTAGTATTTTAAAAAATAAATTGTCATATCTCCATATTACGTATCAACTTACCCTGTGTTTTACTAGTATTTGTCCCTCTACAGCACATTCGAGATTTTCTCTGGAAGACATTTCTCAGTCTGTTTTTCTTGATATTTCAGGATTCTTTGAACACCAACTCGTTCTTGAATCATTTGTTACCTGCTCTCTCCATTTTTTTTCTACTATACTCTGGCTCTTCTCTCTTTCCTCTTTTCTGCCTGTTCTTTTATTGTTAGTGTTGCTCAAGGCTCTTCCTGGGCTGTTTCTTCTTCCTGTGCACGTGCTCCCTGGGTGATCTTCATTTCCTGGTCTTTAGGTACCATCTATGTTATGATGAGTATCCCATAACTCACTCTCTAGCTCAGAGCTATTCTAGTTCCAAGTCACCATGGAGGTATTCACTGGTATGTCTCCCAGGCACCTAATTCCAGGGTGCCCCAAACTTTATTTATTCTTTTTCCTCCAAAGCCAGATCCTCCTGGACTAAATGATGAGGGAAAAATAATCCTAGAGAATCTGGCAGTTGTAGAAGAAAAATATAACTTAGTTACTACTAGAGACTGAAATTCTAAGAAAACCATCAGACAGCTAACAAAATTAATATTTTAACAGTGATTCTGGATTTTCTTTGCTCCTTGGATCTAATGTTTTTACTTAAGTACATTTTCAAACATTTCCTAAGCAATAATTGTTTCTTAAAAAAAATAGAGAAAGAAATGGCTTCCCATTGTTTTGTGCCCCTGAAGTATAGATTAACTCTTTGGAGAAAACTTTCTTAAGTCCTGGCATTCTTTTCCATTGAAAAGAATACGTAAATCAGGCTTTCAGTCAAGATGGCTAGTAGGAAAATGCTGTGCTTGCCTCCTGCCATGACCACATGAAAATTCCAACTAAACTATAGAACAAGCATCATTGAGAACCACCTGAAGTCTAGTTGAACAGAAGTCCTACAACTGAAGATATAAAGAAGAAGACATGTGGAGACTGGTTGGAGAGACAGACTCCTAACAAGCTGGTCCTACAGCTCATGTGGTGGTTAAAAATCTGGAGGAATATCTTGGCTGTGGAGGTACCCCCTGAGGAGTGAGGGTTTTCAGCCCCACACCAGGACTCCCAGCCTAGGGTTTCAGTGCAAAGAAGAGAAATACTCTGGCTGTAAAAACCAGCAGGGATTGTGGCTAATACAGAGGACTTCTGGAGTACTCTGAAAGGGCATGCACATGAGTGTACTTGATCTCACTCTCTCTGAGCTCTCTCCCTGGAGTGGCAGCTCCGAAGTCCCCAGGGACATATGGGGAGAAACGGAATTGTTTGGCTTTGGGGCAAGGGTTGAAGGGGTAGCTTTTTCCCAGACAGAAGTGCAGGCAGAAGCCATTATTCCTTTGCTGAGCCCTCTCCCCGCAGAGCCCACAGGCTGGCACCACATCTGAGTCTCCATCAACCTGACTAACAACATTTAACCTGCCCTTGTGATTCCTTGAGACCTTGTCCCACCTGACTTGTGGGCCCACCCAAGCCCTTTCCAGTGGCTTTTCCACACAAACAACCTGTCTTGGCTCTTGCTGAAAACTTTCCTAAAACCTCTCAAAAGTTCATAAACCCCAAGCAAGCAGCATCTGGCCTCAGCATGCTCTGTACCGCTTGCTAAGTGATCCCATTCCCTGCAGGACTGGCATCCGGACTTGGTTTGCAACTTGGCCTCTGTGGGAAACCTCCCGAGTCCAATGCAAGTAGCTGCCATCTGCATATTGCTTTGTAGCTCATGCTGGATGGCCGTAGGCAGGGCACAGGCACCTGACCTTGGCCTGCATTTTAGCTCCTCCTATGAGGCACCAGAACCAACACTGGGTGGCCAGTTTCAGACCACACCAGAGTACCACCCAACCATTTCAAAAAATGACACTTCCAAAGTGCAGATTTGGCAGGCACTGAGCCCCACTGAAGCTAATCCTGCTCCGTAGGGTTGGCCCCTTTGAAACAGCTCCTCTTCTGTAGTCATGGACAGTTCTTACAACCAATCAACCCAAGGGTCAATTCCTCGGGTTGATGTGCCATTGACATGCTAACAACAATCAAGGCTGAGCTACAACAAGAAGGCACACACAACCCACACAAGGAACACATCT